CGAAGCCCAAGGCTCAGCATCACACCAGGCTACCATGGCTATGCTTCACTGGGTGCTTTGTTATCTTGCTATGTCTCTCTTTCTTTGTTGTTGTTGTTGTTTTTTCAAGACAAGGTTTCTTTGTGTAGCCCTGGTTGTCCGGGAACTCACTCTATAGACCAGGCTGGCCTCGAACTCAGAGATTTACCCCTGCCTCTGCCTCCCTGGTGCTGGGATTAGAGGTGCATGCCACCACCGCCCTGCTTGCTATTTCTCTCAATGCGATCACTTTTTGTGTTCAGATCAGGGCAGAGCGTGAGTGTAAGGTCTGTGCTTAGGGAGAACAACCTATGAGGTGCATGGTAAATGAGAAACCAACTTCAGGGTTAGCAACATGCAGCACCTGCACTTAGAAGGCACAGGTAAGAGGCATCAGGAAGGAGACCCAGGGCAGCTGTCCCGGTCCAGGTGCCAAGGAGGGTGTCTTCTGTGACTCAGGCCCTCTTAGTAGTCACATTTTAGCAGGAGAGTATTTCTGCCTTTTTCTTTTTCATTTCGAGTGCACACTGTCTTTCCAATTAAAAAACAAAAACAGAAACAAACAAGCCAAAAGTTCAAACATCTTACTTTGCCCCAACCAGTGGTACTTTGCCACTTGGGAAAAAAAGTCCAATTTTTGAAGGGATGACATAAAAATATGGTATTATTCCACTGCTGGGTAGACCAGGACTTCCACCTGTGAAAGCGGTTTGCTCCTTAGTTCAGTGTTCCTGTGTCAGCATTTAGGCACTCAAGCAGAAAGAGAACTAAAAAGAGGCCATGTGTTAGGTGATATGCAATACCCAAGGAAGAAAATGCCCTCCCCATACCACCCCAGCAAAACAAAAGGGTTTACACCTATATATCCAATAATCAGAATACGTGTAACACCCACACCAATGACCAACGGGTGTACACACACACACACACACACACACACACACACACACACACGGGTATCTTCTAGATACCTAATTATCAGCACTTTATACCCCTGCACCAACAACCAATCATAATACCCCCAACAACCGCAGCATCTCACAAACGCGCACGCACGCGTTCCGAACGCAAGTGGTTCCACAGCCCCCACGAACCCAGCTGTTTCATTCATACACCCCAACCGCCAACACACGCCTCTCTGTGAGACACCCTTCACCCCCATCTCCCCAAGCCCCTGGATTTGTTTGCTGCTGCTGCTGCTGCTACTGCAGCAGATACTTGAACAACACCGAGACATTAGCTGCGACTTTCCCTTCAGATTAATGAGCAGAGAAAGAATTGGAAGAGGGAGGGGGCGAGAATGGCAAGAGAGAGAGAGAGAGAGAGAGAGGAGAGGGAGCAATTACACCCAAATCTTTTCTCTGTTGATTAGGGATTCCTTCTCCAGCCTGCTTTGGCTCCGGCTAAATCTTTTTCTAATGAGATGTGGCTTATCCAGATCAGGGCGCTGAGAAAAAAAGTTGCAATTAACTTTAAGAAGAAAAGGAGTGAGAAAGAGAAAGAGACGTGGAAGGGGGAGGCAGGGCCGGGGAGTGGGGGCAGGGATGGGTACGGTGGGCGTGGCCTGGCATAAGCCTCCACAGAGCAGGCTCATGGGCAGGTAGGTAGTGGGCCCTGGCTCTCTTCACTGAGAGCTCACAGTTTGCGTCTTGGATTCCAGTGCTTAGGAAGGAGGTTACGGAAGTCCCTGCAGCCTGTATTAGTCTCTTGGCTACTTTCAGTCCAAGTCAAGGTTGGGAAGTGGTCACCTCTAGTCTAGGACTTTTCCTCGCCTTGCATCACTTGTTTCTTTCCGTTTATTGTGTACTCGGCCTTGAAAAGACCACATATCGGATATATCCGGCCCAAGCCAGTTCTTGTCTCAGGGGCTTCTGGGAAGACAGCCGTCCACTAAGCAGCCAGAAGCCACCACACTTGAGTGGGCTTTCAGACCCGAGAACTGAACTTCAGGGTGTTCCCAAGCTGCCTCCTTGTGCCTACACGGGGACAGGGTCCCGAGTCACTTAGAAGACTGGAAAAGAGGAACTGGAGAGATGGCTCAGTGGTCAAGAATGCGTGCCGCTCCTGCCAGGACCTGAGTTCAGTTCCCAGGGCCCACGTTGGGACGCTGACGACCACGTGTAACCCCAGCCCCAGGGAGACCTGAGTCCTCAGACCTCCACAAGCTCCTGCTCTCACACGAACATACTCACGAGAACATACCCCCCCACACACACATACACATGATTTTTAAAAAATAGGATAAAAAAGAAGGCAGAGAAGAGCTGAGCTAAGATGGAAAGGAACACTTCACACTGATTGGAGAGAAGCTTACAGGTTAGAGGCTGCTGCTACGTTAAAGCGTGGCTGACCAAAAGCTGTAGACTAGTAGTTTCTTCTCTCTGGGGACTCAATGTTGTCACCTGTTCAGGAAAACAGAGAGAGGTGGTAGACTCTAGGGCGTTTGCCCACCCTGCATCCAATGGGAAGCCCAGACGCTGAGTCACTGGGTCTCCGACTCTCACTCTGCCTTGGGCATCCACAGGACACCTGCACCTTCCTGCAAGACATCCACAGGAAGTTTGGGTTCCCTCCTCCTCCCCTATCCCATGCCAGAGTGATGACTACCCAGCAAGGCCTGAGGGAATCTAGCCTGGTTCTTGTGGTGGGATCTCAGATTAACAACTTGATACCTATGTACCAGCCAGGCTGGAAAACTTTTGAGTATGATGAGTCAGCTGGAATTAGGCAAGGAAGAAGGGGGTGGACGTGGAAAGGCAGGAAGGGGCATAGTTCCCATTTTCTTTGTCCCCAACAGACACACATATGCACATATGCTAAGGGGTCCAGGCAGTTCACACAAAGCCATATTCCTTTATTCTGTTCATTCACACTGCCTTACCTAACCCGAGGGACTCCCCGAGTGAATCAAGAGACTTCGGACACAAAGCTGTTGGCTCCAGGGGAAACGTGAAGCTGGATCTCTCTCTCTCTCTAACTCTTGCTTTATTTGAGTTCCTTGTTTGTGGCCCAGAGAAGAGGGGGTCCTGCACATGAGAGAGGCTACCCCTGTGCCTTTTCCTAGAGGGAATGCTCAGGTGATCCCTCATCTAAGAAGCCAGGGAGATGAGCCTGTACTGGGAGGCACACATCAACCAAACTTTCCTGTCCCTAGGTTCCAGAGAGGTCACCTTCAGGCCTCAGGGATCTTTCCAATGCCAACCCCCTCACCCCCCCCCACCACGTCAGCCCCTTGGGCACAGTCTGGATCTTCTCACGTCTCTCTCTGTGCCTGTTGCCAACAGAGTAAGCGTTTGTGCTAGAAATCCTAGCTACGGTGCGAAGTTAGAGATTCTTCCTAAACATGTAGTAAGGTCAGATGAAGGGGGGGAAAAAAAGAAAACAAAACACAAAACCCCTGAAACCAAAATTGGACACAGAAGGGCAGCTGTAGACTGAACAGGAAGTACTCGCCCTGAGCTAAATGAAACAGCTGTCACCATTGTTCTGGCCTGAGGGACTGCCTTTGCAAAACTCCTTGCGAGCTGGGCTCAGAAAGCAGATGTTAATAATTACAGCACATGAAACCAAGGGCACAGGATTAGGAAAGTGACGAAAAAGAAATGGTACCGGTAGATTTATAGCCGACCCAGGCAGATCTTCTCAGGTCAGTAGGGAGGGGGTGGGTGGCAAGTCAGCCTGGCTGCAGATGCCCGCCCCACCCCACCCCACCGCCCACTTCCTACGGAACATAGCCTCTCAGCCTCTCTGATCATCTTAGAATCGAGACCTTGTTAGATTGTTTAGTGGTGGTAGGCTGGAGAGGCCTTTCCAGGAATCCCATGCTTATTACAGCCAAATGCCTCTGACCTAAGGGATCCTGGCCGGTGAAATCCCCGATACCGGAGACGCCATGGTCCGCAAAAGTTTGGGTTGTAAAGGCACTAGGACTTGAGCTGGAATTACCAGCACTCACACAAGAAACGGGGGATAGTGGCATGTGTCCATAACCTGGGTGTTGGGTCTGAGATAGGCAGACCTGGGGGACTCACTGACCAGCCAGGTTAGCCCAAACAATGAGTTCTAGGTCCAGTGAAAGATCCTGAGTGCCAGGGGAAAGCATCTGACGTTGACCTCTGGCTTCTGCACACACACACACACACACACACACACACACACACACACACACACACGTGAACCCCTCGAGGGCACACCCACACCACACACAGAAAACCCCGAGTGCAAAACCAGGTCCCTGGACAGACAAATGGCCAGGGGAGTGGCTGGTCTGCAGAGACTTTTTTGAGGGCGCAAAGCTAAAGCACCATTCCCGGACCTTGCCCTGCTACTGCCGAGCTCACATCTAAAATCCAGGATCTCTGTGTGGCTGAACTGGTTTCGCACTGTCAAGTTAGCCAGCTCCTGTGCTATAGAGACAGCGGATAGGGGAGTCTGGGAGGGTGTAAGGCCCTCTACAGAGATCCAGCCATCTCGGGCTAATAATTATATAACTAGGAAAAAGAAGCAACCTCCACACGTTTGCTGAACGCCCCTCCATGCTTTTGTCCGTGTGAGCTTGAGTTGTAAAACCACACAAAACAGCACACTCACATCTAAAACAAAACAAAACAAAACAAAAACAAACAAACAAAAAAAAACCTTTCCATCCCATCACCCATCAGAAAGGACGCCTCTCAGAAAGGTTCGAAAGAAGGTTAAAAAAAAAACAACAAAAACATGTGTTTGCCATCTTTCTGCCTGATATAGAAACCATATGCTGAAATACACTAGCAAACGCACTTAATATAACACTCTCTTTTATTAAATGTGGTTTTATAAACGCTCTCCCCAGCCAGGGCACCTTTGCCGTGCTGCAGGCTGGAACTTGGCAAAATACTCCTCCCACTGTCTCAGTCACATCTATTGATACACTGTTTTTTGGTTTTGGGTTTTTTTTTTTTTTTTTGAAAATGAGTCTTGGACCCTTGGAAAATGGGCTGGTTCTGATTATTGCCTTGAGAGGGAAGGGGCACAGGAGGGCATCTTTTCCCTCTGATAAATTAAAAGGACTGTACGGGTGCTTTCTGTAACCTGTAAAATGGCAGGGCCATCTGCGACTCATTTAGCAGCTTCTTAGGGAAGATTTATTTGATTAATTCGGGCAGAAGAGAGAGAATATGGATTTCTCGGCCCCGCTTCTCAAAAGGCACACACATAACGACCCTCACGCACGCACGCGCGCGCGCACGCAACCCGCCCAATGGGCGGATATCTCAGGAATGAAAAACGACTGGTCGTGTTATTGCAACCGGCGAATGGGGGGGCCTCCCTGGTGAGACAGCCGCTGTCCTGCTGGAGGGAGGGGAGGGCCCCCCGTTTCTGAAGAGGTCACAGCGGCCCAGGACTGGTGCCACCGCGGACTGAGCGGAGAATAACACCAGGACGCTGGGCTGTTTCGATGAAGAAGGATCACTTAGTGCCAGGTACTCCCTCAAGCCGCTAGGATAGGTAGGGTCTCAAAGAATGTACCCAGGATTCTACCGCCAGAGGCACTATTCATGTCCTGTCTGTTGTAGCTCCAAATTCCCTTAGCTTTTTCTAATCTTGCTACCACTGAGCTGCATCCCCGGGGTCCTTCTTACCACTTTGATTTTTAGTACACGTGTGTGGGTGTGTATACAGATATGTTCACATGTCAGTATGTGTGCACATGTACGCATAGAGGATGTATCTGGTGCCCTCCCTCGGGTGCTACTCACATTGTTTTTGAAACAGATTCTCTTTCTTGGCCTGCAACTCACCAATGTGGCTAGGCAAGCTGTCCAGCAAACCCCAGGGACCCCTTTGTCTCTGGTCACCCACCCTCCCCTGCACTGGAATCTAAGTGCATGCCACCACACCTGACATATTTTGCATAAGTTTTAGGAGTCCATCACAGGTCCTCATGGTTACACAAGGTACCTTATTGGCTTAAGAAGCTCCCAGCCTTCGTTTTTGTCTCTTAAAGATAAGAGTTTACTTTCTTAGTACTCCCTGGTCTGTCTAGATGGATGGAGGCAATTGTATGAGTTTGTCTCGTGGTGGACACAACCTGATGATTGGCTTGTCCATGTTAGCTGCTTCATGATCTGTGAGACTCGGCTCTGTGCTGACCAGCTTTTCGTGCTAATTTCTGACCTCCAGGGTAGCTAGCCTCCTCTATCCTGAGCAGCCTCTGAACTGCATGGCACAGTCCTACCCTTAATTATCTGTAGACCACTGTCACTTACTGGTGGGTGGGAACTGCCTTGGAGAAGACAAAGAAAAGAGACAAGGCAAAAGGAATTATAAATTGCACAAGGTCTAAGCCCAAGAGGACTACAGGTAGCCATGTCAAGAGAGACGATATGTGGGAAGTTAAGGTATCCTGTCCTTTTTTTCTCTTTTGCTCAGAGCAGATATTGCTAGCTGATCCCAGATCAAAATCTACTCAACACAGCCCTCTCTCTAGACAGCCTCTACTAATGGATCGTAGTCAGTGTATGAGTCTAAAGCAGTTCATAGTGCCTTGCAATTGAATATGTCCCTTCGGAGAGGGAGAAACAGGAACCCAGAAGTAAGAAACCAGGTACAGACCAGCTAGGAAGCCAGACCCAAGCCTAGGCTATTTGACTTTCCATCCTTTCATGTTCACAACAGCCAGGTACAGAGGGCCATGAACCCCTGTACTTCAACAGCTCTCTGCTTCTGCCGTAGAATCTCACTGACAATGCTTACAGATGTGGTGGGGAATGTTCTTCTGTGTATATGTTTCTCTTATTGGTTAATGCATAAAACACTGATTGACCAGACAGGAAGTGACGTAGCTGGGCAGAGACTTGCCACTACTTAACCACAGAGGTCTGGAGGTCTGTACAGACGGACAGGAAGTGACACAGCTTGGCAGATTCAGGATATAAGCAGGGACAAACAGGAAATCGCTCTCTTCTCTGCAAAGGTGCTTAGGAGGTAAAGTGTGCCGTGGCTTGCTCCTCTCTGATCTCTCAGCATTTCTGTCTATATCTGACTCCGGCCTTTTATTATCTAGACTAATTAAGAACTCCATTTACATAGGTGTACAGAAGGGGCCTCCCTCTTGAGAGAGTGCAGAGGCTCAAACCAGGTGGGGGTAGGGTGGGGGTGGTTTGAGCCAGCAACACTGCAGCACAGTCTAAGATACTAGAAAGAAGTGTAAGGTTTCCATCTGGAAACTTGGGTCATGAGTAGAGAACCCCACTCTCACTTTCGGGACCACAGTAATTTCCTGGATCAAAGGCAACCAGGACTATACTGGTTTACGGTGTAAGGGTTTGTCTCTGCCTGCTTGGCTTTAGATATTTCTGCTTGGCTGAGTTTCCCTGGGGAAAGAGCAACGGGGTTTTGTGAATGGAGGACACTTTTTTTTTTCAAGTTTCCAGGTCAAGAATTCCCTCTATAGTCTCTTCCTGCTGGTTCCTAGGCTGCTTCTCAGCCTAAAGTGGTTCCAGGGGTGCAGAGGACACCATTCTGCGGCTCTGCTGACTGTTTGGTTGGCTGAGGACAACCTTTCTGTAAGGGAAAACTATGGTCCATGGCTCTGGCCCCAAGAACCAACGGTGGGTCCAAAACACAGTGTATTTTGAAGGGAGGCCGTCCTGTCTTGCTACAGGGGCATTCGCAGTACCTCTGCTTAGCAAGTCTGTTGAGTCTAAGACAACTTCCTCTCAGCTCCTGGATTGTCCCAGATGCTCCTGCCTGTTTCTGCTGCTTCTGTGTGTGTGTGTGTGTGTGTGTGTGTGTGTGTGTGTGTGTGTGCATATGTGGATGTATGTGTAGGGGTCGTACATCAGGCTCCATATGACTTTTTTTTTGAGATAGGATCCTTCACTGGCCTAGAATTTGAGAACTTACCACTAAGTGAGCCCAGGCTTCAGCCCACTCCTGCCTCCACAGAGCTGGGATTACAAGTGTGTATGTGTGAGCTCTGGAGATTGATTGCAAGGCATTTACTTACTGAGATTTCACCCCAGCCCCTATTTCTGTGATTTCTGAGGAGGCCTGAAAGCACTTTATTCAGCTCTGTTAATACTCTTAATGCCCACTTCATATATCTATATCTATCTATGTATCTATCTATCTAAAACAAAATCCCACTGTAGTCCTGCCTCACCTCCTGGTAGAGGCATAAAAACAGCATGGTTGGGGACCTAAGGAACGATGCCCTTATGGGCCCCAAACCATGTCTCTTCACAGGTTTCATTAATCACGCGTCATTTGTTGAATAAAGACATTACTCTGCATTTCAGGGGAAGGGTCTTCTGGGGTTGTTCATTCCTGACAGGCGTGTCTGTGGGTGAAATGTTATTCACCTACCCAGTGGTGCATGGATGCACTTTGCAATGTTTATGGGGCTTGGGAGATATCAAATTAAAGAACACACACACACACACAAGACCATGTGTGTGCTTTTGTTTATGTGGGATGTGTACAGAACAGGCAACTCCATCCAGATTATGGTTGCTTCAGGTTGATGGAAGGAGGGCAGGAGAGGTACTTACCGGCTTAATCTTTTAGGTGACGGGGATGCTCAAGGGTTGGTTGTGGTGAGCGTTTTATACACACCTGGGTGTGTTAGAAATCATTGACCCACACTTCATGTTGCTTTTTTTTTTCAGAATACCTGACAACAGAAATGGGAGGAAGGGAGGGAGGGAGGGAGAGATGGAGGGGAGAAGGAAGAAAGGAAAGAAGGAAGGGAATAAGGAAGGAAGGAGGGGAGGAAGGAAGTGAGGTAGAAGAGAGGAAGGGAGGGAAGAGGGAGGAGGAAGGAAGGGTTTACTCGGGCTCATGGTTTGAGGGGATGCTGTGTGTCGTGGCAGGAATACACAGTGGGGAAGAGTAGGTCACACCACGTCCACAGTCAGAAAACACAGAGACGCACGGTGTGCTTATCTGGCTTCACCTGCTTCTTTTCCATTCAGTCTAGGACACCGGTCCATGGGCCCGCGCCACCCACATTCAGAACGCTTCCTCCGTTCTCAGTTAAACTTCTCTGAAACACCTCACAGACACGCTCCGGGGTGTGTCTCCTAGAGGATTCCAAGTGCAGTCAGGTTGACAATGGAGGTCTTCGCGCAAGCTTTCAACGAATATGTGAATGAATATGCAATATGTGGACATCTCAATGATGCTGTGTTAAGAAGAGAGTAACTCCTTATATTTTGCAATGAATGTGACTGTGGTGACAAGGGATGGCAACACCGTGGAAACCAAGGAGTGCTTGTCCCCGCCCAGAGGCATTCCATCGAGAAAAGCAAAAACAAAACAAAACCCACCTAATACCAGTGGACCAAACTGAGACTCCGATTTCTGCTTGGTAGAGGAGAAAATAACTTCCTCTCCTGGAGGCTTGTTGGGAGGAGAAGTGAGATAATGTGTGCCCAGTATTTAGAGCCTGGCGTGTCACAGACTCTCAGGAGGTGGTAGTGGACATTGTCATTATTTTGCTAGAATAATGGGATGGAATGACCCTGGGAACAATCCGGTTGGAAAGGGAGTCACTGGAGGTTACTCCGGAAGATGTAACATTTCCAGATCACTTTCATTGCGTCCGCTTGGGTCCTGTGTGACAATGAGAATACATTTGCACTTCTCCAAAGATGCTTTTATTCGCACCTCTCACAAGGCTGTGAACATATTTATGTCAAATAATAACACCGTCGTTGTTTCTTGAACAATCTGAAGTGAGTGGCACGGCAGAGGAATTAAGGTTTCCCTGATTTGTGTAACCGAAATGTCCATGCGTGCGGGACACTGGTCGGTGTCAAGGGCTGGCCCTGGATTTGACTCTGCCACTCGTCAATGGTGCAATGTAAGGAAATGGTTTCTCAGGACTGATGCTGAAGTCCTGTGTATATGTCAATAAAGCACTGTTGGCCAATAGGGAAGCAAGATAGGTGGGACTAGGAGTCCAGGAGGACTCTGGGAAGGAGAAACACAGAGAGTCAAGATGTAACTGCCATAGGGGTAAGAAGCCCGGAAACTTTTCTCCGGTAAGAGAAATAGATTGGCAGTTATGGGGTAAATACGTAAGTCAGAGATAGCCAGTAAGAAACAAGCAAGGCCAACAGCTTCATAATTAATACAGTGTCTTGTGTGTTATTTGGGGACTACAACTTGGTAGAGCCCAGGCGACTGGTGGGGGAAAAAACCAAAGCGGCAGACAAGGAAAAGTCTTCTCTCTACACAGGACTTCAGTATTATCACTTACTAAAACAGGAAGACGGTGATGGCGGTGGTGGGAGGTGTCTCTGAACGGCCTCTGAGCAGAGGAGGACCTCAGCCGATGACAAAGATGCGAATGTTATCGCCAGCCCAGTGAGCAAGACTGGACATCCTGAAGGATCTCCTACACATCAGACAACGCTTCTGTTCCAAGAAGCTGGGAAGAAGCTGGCAGCAAACAGGCTGGAGAAACAGCTTGCTA